ATTGCTGCAGACCGGCGGTTTGGGGTTCAAGCACAGACGGTGACCACAGACTTCCAGAAGATCTTCCCTATGGGACAAAGACTGTATATTGGACTAGCCGGACTGGCCACGGACGTGCAGACGGTGTAAGTGAGACTCCCGCCTGCCCGTGCGTTCCCATACTGAGCCTGTAAGAGGCATATTTACAGTAAATACTAAGTGGCAGCTTATAGTGAGCATAAGTGTCTTAATTTATGTGTGGGGGAGAGTATAAGAGCTGGGTGCCAGCACTCCCATTTCATGGTTTTCATTTCAGTGGGAGTTTTTGAAATAAGACTGCACGTGATTTAAGATCACATCACTACTAAGACTTAATAACTTCAGGTATAAAAGGAGCTGCCTCTGGAACACCTACCTGCCTCAGGCAGCGTCAGGAGCTGGCACCTGTCCGTGTGCAGTAGAACGGTTCAGGCCTGGGTGAAGTTGAAAGGAACCTGCTTCTGCTTTAACGCTGATTCTCATCTCTTGCAGTGCTCAGAGACTGAAGTTCAGGCTGAACCTCTATGAGCTGAAGGAAGGCAGGCAGATCAAACCCCAGACTTTTATGAGCATGGTTTCCAATCTCCTGTACGAGAGACGGTAACTGTCAGCGGAGTCACTGTTTACATGTCAGCGGGGCGGTTGGAGCTCATCTGATTCTAGGGAGGCGGGAGGCTGAGGAGAGCTGTAACAACTGCTTGGGGTACAGCAAAAGGAGACTTTGATCTGGTGACACCGGGATTCTCAGCTTCCTTGCAAAAGAAGCTTGAGCGTTGCTAAAATAATCCCGTAGCAGGAAACGTTTGTTCCGTTTGCCATGCTAAAACCATTTTGGGGGGCTTCTAGGTTGACCTGAAAGCACCTGGCTGCCGAACGCAGGTGTGGGATGTTTTCCTCCTGTGGGTATTTACGTGGGACGCGGAACTGCGTCAGGGTGGTCAGACTGCTCTATTGCCATGTTGTCCTTCGCAGGTTTGGACCTTACTACACAGAACCAGTCATTGCCGGGCTGGACCCCATCACACACGAACCCTTCATCTGCTCTCTAGACCTGATCGGCTGCCCCATGATAACCGATGACTTTGTGGTCAGCGGTACCTGCTCCGAGCAGATGTACGGCATGTGCGAGTCCCTCTGGGAGCCCGACATGGTGAGTGGGGGGGGGCTCAGCCCTCATTCC